TCATCACTAGTTGTCTCTTGTTGAGCTTCCTCTTTACCAGTTGCATTGATTTCTATGTTTTCCTCAACTGCTTCCGACTTCTTCAGGGTTGATGCATTTTCTTCAGTATAACCCTCGTTTGATTGTTCTGAGACTGCCATCGTGATACTGCCCGGTGGGGCCAAAGCAACCTCTTTGTAAGAGAAAAGTTTTCCAGCTGCCCGAACACTTACAGAACTAACGGCAGAAGCTGGCGTAGCAGGTGCCGACTTCGGATTTGCAGCTTTATCCCGTCCATTATGAGCGGGCCCGGGAGGACTGCTTGGCTTTGGGCTAAAGCTAGCACTCTTCGTAAATTTTTTCGATCCGGATGAGGCAGCACTCTCGTTTATGATTGTTCTTGGGGAACTGTAGTTAGTCGATCTACCTCGGTATTTAGATGGATGAGAGGTGTTCAGATTATTGGTGTTCAGTTTCGCGAGACTTGGCCTCTTGCGTCCAGCTGGCGAGCGCCCTTTAGGGAAAGCTTCTTGCCATCCTTCTTCGGACAACATCTCATCTTCATAAATATTGTCATTTTGATCAGTAGATGGTGCTTTGTCTGTTGCAATTGAATCGGGAGTTTTGGTGGGGTCAGTAAATTGAGGCTCCGGTTTGTTCTGTAATTCAATTCTGTTCTCTTTGTCGCTCGAGTTCTCCGTTATGGGCTCATCTGCTGATACGAGTTCTTCCTTCTGATGTTCATCGATCGCAGTTTCCGAGTTTGGACCGGTTTTTGCTTTAAGCTGAGAAAGAAATAGAGGATATATTTTTCAGAAAATTGAGAAAGAAGTAAGTATAATTGATTGAAAATAACAAATTTTCGACCTTGGAGCGAGCTTGCTTCTTTTGGGCGTCTCTTGCTTTCATGGCATCGGGAGTTATATAGTCCAACAGATCCGACACACTGCACTCACAAAAGAAGAAGATAAGTATGTTTTAGATTATAGAAACCCATAGTCAGTATATTTTGGAAGTCGTCACAAAACTGATTTTTTCAATGGATACTGTACAATGGAAGTCGAGAATCTGGATGCCTGATCCTTTTACCAGGCCCGATAACAAAAAATAGTTTATAAGATCCACCAAATGGACGAAAGAATAACTCAAAAAACACAGAATATAAATAACCTCAGATGGCCTTTGCTAGAGATGGAAGCATCTGGTTTTGGAGTGCCATTACGCGCAGCTTCTTGCTGCTCGAGAGCTTTTGACTCGAAATATTCAAGCCATGCAGCCGCATCCTATAAAAAAGGGAAAATACGATAAAGTGGGCCCATCTGTCCCAAAAGTTGACAGCCATCAGACTTGAGCACGTTTATTACCTGCGTACGCAGATCGTCTGATCCTAGTTTAGCCTTCAGTATCTGAAGAGTGGTCTGTTCGTGTTGAACGCTCAGGGAATATGCCTCCATCAACGAGAGAGCAATTGCTATAGCATGATAGCTAGCAGCAGTCTACAAGACCAAAAAAAGATCAGTACTCAGGGATGAAATTGGCGTAATTTCACGTGGATGATAATTTAGTTTCACAAACGTGTTTTACGGTAACTGCATGATGCTCACAGAATATTTGTTATCAAAGGTATAGCACTCAGATGAAGTTTAATAAGCGCCACATGTGATATTCGACAACAAAACTCGATAAAGACAAGCTAATTAAATAAAAAGCCAAACTCAGTCCAAGTAACCCTTTTAGAGGAAATTTTGATTGATCGAACAAAATAAACGCTCTTCTTTGTGGTCGTGTCAGGTGTATAGTCAAATGTGTATCAGGAAATGACTGCTTTCAGACATGAATCCTGAATATATGATCTCATTATTGAAATGATTCACTATTCTCACAAGGTCAAAACTTCACACTCAGAGAGAGAGAGGGAGAGAGAGTAGAGTGGAGAGAGAGAGAGAGAGAGAGAGAGAGAGAGAGAGAGTACTTGTATGTGGTCAGCTCCTAGAAGTCTTTGGTTACACTTGAGAGCCTCATGCAGATACCTAAGAGCAACATGGACATTCCCCAAACCTTCTTCCATCATAGCCACATTAATATAGGTAGCGGCAGTATTTGGATGAGAAGGTCCGCAAGTCAAATGCAAGAGATACAGTGCCCGGTTGACATACCTAAATACAACAGATACAGCCATCTCTCTCCAGTCAAAATTTAATTATAGAAACGAATAAACATTTACATACCGAAAAGAAATTTATAGCAGCATGTGAAATGTCTTGCAGTGATCCTAATATTTATGATTAATGTAGTGAAAGGCTTCAATGAACTGTATCTCTACTGAGAGTAGAAAGTAAAAGAAGCAGGATATTGGACTTCTACTATGATTGTCACTTCAGAAGTTTAGAGTTGGATTGCAACTAACTAGCTAGTTCACACTTCTCAGGACCTAGAATATGCAGTGCCAAAAAAGACCAGTAAGGTGCTCTTGCTTCTAGAAAAGATGCAGATAACATTTTATACATACTTCAAAGCAAGCTCAGTATGTTGGAGTCTGTAGTAGAAGACAGCTAAATCCCCATAGCTTTTCATTGTGTCCGGATGATCAAGGCCAAGCTCTCTTTCATTGATATCTAAAGCTTTTTGCTGGTAGATTGTAGCCTATATACACATCAACATAAAATAAAGCAATAATCACAAGCATGTTAAAAATTAAATTTTACATGTTGGGTTCACGGTCCTATTTATAAAACCATATATAATACAAATAAAGTGGATAGTTTAGCTGCTATTACCTAATGGTGAAGGTGGTGGCTATGTTATGTCCTTATAAACATGAAATTTTGTTTCAAAGTGAGTCTGCAATAGCTTGTTACTGGTTGGCCGAAATTTCAGATAGGGTAACACTGTATCATGTTTTCAGATGCATCAAGGGTAAAAATAGAAATTAAGAGCATATGTGCTTGTATATTTGAAATACACATCAACAGATGGTCATGCACACATGATAGGTAGCTTAGTTTCAGATGTAAAACTTGATAGTGGTCACATTTGGGTCCCAAAATATTGGTAATACTAAAAAATATCATTTGTCAGATGCATTTTTGGTAGAACAACTTAACCTACTTCCAATTTGACACTGTGTGGAAATATAATGATCCAAGGCATGAGTCAATTCAATAAAAAATAAATAAATAAATTGTAACTTTGATGATTACAGTCTCAAACCTGATTAAAATCTCCCGTATGGTAGAGCACCACAGCCAGAAGACTATAAGCCCCTGCTGTCATTCGATGATAGGGACCACAGACCGAAACCAGCTTTGAGAGTGCCTTCAAAAAATTCAAATTTAATGTTTGTTACACCTGTGAACCTAAGTCTGAAGATTATATATAGCAGCCTCCAAGGCTAATGGGAATAATTCGGGGTACTTGTTAAACCTTAGTTCCATAGTTAACAGCATCCTCCAATTTGCCCTTATCCAGTGAGGTCTTAGATGATTCCAATAGCGTACGTCCATCTGCAGATGAGCAAGCAACGTGCTGTATGAAAGGGTAAATTGTTGTCAGAACATTAAAAAAGTACGAAAGAAGAAAAAACATTTTCAGTTATTGAAATGATAGGAAGCGGCCAACCTTATAAACAGGCACCATGCTTATTATGTCCGATTTCTGGAAGGGGAAAGAAGAATCCATATCATAATCCCTCGGAACAAGTTCAAGTCCAACCTGGAATAAAAATCAAGTACATAAATTTAATTAATCACATTGTTAAGCCATTAAATTTCTCACAATTTGGTTTACCTTGTGGCAAAGCCCGCGAAGAACTGCAAATTTTCTAATATCACGACATGCTTCATCCTTCCATTGCCAGCCAAACCTCTTGGAAATGAATTCCTCAATCCACTTCCATTTCAGTTTGTCAACATTAATTGCATCTGAATCACCATTTTCCAAAGGTGGGTTACCAAGTAACATATTCAAGCAAGATGCAACTGATAAGGCCATGTTGGAAATATCATCAACGGCAGCTATAACAGCTTGCAAGATATGCTTATAAGCTCGAACAACCATCTCGTGAATACAGAGGGACTGGACATGAGGTAGCTTGTCTGCAAGTTCAACCTGATGTAGGAAAATCACGAACCAAAAGAAAATAAGTTTTGGAAGAGTTCTATTAGTCAATAGAAACAACATGTATATGACTCAACTAAAAAGAGAAGCAAACAGTGAGAAAGAAAAAGGGAAAAAAATAAACAAAACAAGAGAACCTAGAAAGAAGTTGAGATAAACCTACAATGTGTCCAGATTATACTGGAAAATGTATATGGAGTATCAAGCAAATATAAATGAAGGCCATAAAATCAACCAGGACTTAAAAAGTAAAATTCAGTACAGATAAGCAGATTACCACACGGCCCAGGGAGCACATTTGTAATCCCCTGGTATGCATGAAATCTGTCAGGGTCCTTCCATCAACAGGTGAAAGTTCGAGAGACCCAAAATCAGCAACCTGTGAAAGCAAAACTAAAAAATGAAACATCGTCTCAAAACATTCCAATAATTAGTTAAAGATACTATGAACAAGGCTTACCAGTTTTGGAAGGGCGGTATCATCATAGTATTTGTGTGCCATCTCAATTAACTCATCAGGAGACTGAAAATATGGTTCAAGCCAGGGAAATGTGTCAAGTCACCACGCAACACTAATTTAACCAAAAAAAATAATAATAAAATTAAAACAAAAATCTTTTTTTTTTTCTTCCACATTCAAACGATTATTAACCTGAATATACGTTGACTGGAAATTCTAACTTCACATATCCAGATTAAAAATAATAGGGTGTTGGATCAAACATAACTCATCACAAAATCAACAACTGACCTTAAGGTGAAAACCAGTTTCTGATTCTTTAAGGCGTAAATATGATTCTTCAGACAACAACTTCCTCCACATGATTTCCTTTTCCTTGACATTTTCAAGTTCCTTCTTAGTATCAGAACTCTGATCAGCAGGCAGTTCCTTGTTTGCTCCAGCTTTACTAATTTGATCATCTGACTTCTTTTTTAAATCATTAAGGAGTCCATGCTTACCTAGACCCTTCACGGCCGGCTCAACTTTCGCTGCCTCTTTATTCTTTGGTTCATCTTTTCCCGAAGCCTGATTTTGAAGGTGTTGCACCCAACAGGCGCCAAGCTCCCATCTAATCGACTTTGTCGGCTTGCATTCTTCTTCCTGCAGCCTTTGTAAACTTTCTGTTAGAACCTGCCTTACCAAAGGCCTTGCACATCGTGATTCATCCACATCAGCACTTTGGATTCTTTGAGCTGAGCTGGATGATTGGTGTGAGGTTGACTTGTGCAACAGCATTCTCAAGCTAAAAATAAAAAAATAAATAAAATTTTGATAACAGAAATGAGGGCCTTGTTACAGAATAGATTAACATGATGGGCATCACCGAACGGTATTTCTCTCTTGATTATTTGCACATAAAAAATAAAAATTAAAGACAAAAAGATAAAGAAAATAAAAAAGGAAAATGAGTGGAGCTTCCTACACTGACCTATTAATGTTTAATGCATTTGCTCCTCCCTCGAGTTGCTCCTCAATGTCAATGTCCTGAGGAGTAGAATCACCCTCCCAATTAACCTCTGCCGACACTTTCACGACAGCCGTGTGCCCACAGTGCCTGACTATCACAATACCTAAAGTAGCCGTATCCTGCAGCCAAAAAAAACATCCCATCACGAAAAACCAATCACACACTAACAGAAATGGAAGAACATGGATAAAGAGAAAAAAAAAAACAAAGAAAAAAAACAAAGCCGCCAAACTAACATGCACAGTCGCACTCTCGTCAGCAGTTACTCCCTTCAGCAGGTTCCTCTCAATAATTTTCTCGAGCGAAACACCGAGGACACGGGCCCCATCGTACTTCCAGTCCGCCTTGCCACTAGCGTCCACCTCATCCCTCACGATGCTGATAAGCAGATCACCAACCCTCTCTTCGTGCAAGATGGACGAGTCGCAGTTGTGTGGGCCCCGCTCACTTCTACCCTCCACAAGATGCTTTATTGCGCCAACTGCCCTGAAAACCGAGACGTCCACAAAGAGGCTGTGGAGGAGAAAGGCTTTCCGGTCGCGTATCTGCCTTTCCTCTGCAGTTTTGCACGGCATTGCAGCCAAAATGGCAAACTCCCGGGCCCACTGGCGGCTGTCCTGCTTCCCGTCCCAACCCTGTCCACCTCCGCTCCCTCCCCAGCTTCTGTCCTCGACAGGAAGCGGTGGGAAGGCAGATGGGATCTCAGAGACGACAGGTGGGACGAGCCAGGTGTTGGCCCGGAAGCCGTACGGGAGGTTCCCGAACTGAGAGAATACACGGCTAACATCAGTTAAGTTTGTTTCGGTGAAAGTCGTATATCGGTTTGAGATACTGAAAGAAGGAACTCACTTTATTGTGCTCGGTAAAAGCTTTCATAAGAGCGTTGTATGCCTGAGAATACAGACAGATTTAAACAATGCTGGGAATAAATAAACAATGGAAATTACAAAGCAATGTGTGTAAAAGTGGGGATCATTAGCATTGCCATTACTTACAGCATCAAAAGCTCTGCTAATTTGCTGCAAAAGGCCGGCTAATGAGTGATTCAAGAGAATGCGTTTCCCGGCGGGATAAAAGCCTTTCCGAGCGGCAACGATTGTCGTTGGCTTCCCACTGCAAATCCTTACCTACATTCGGGTTTGAAAAATAAAAACAAAAAAATGTGTTGGCATTCATAGTGAAGAACAAAAGTGGGGAAACAGAAATTTCATAGTATACGAGTTCATGATTCTAACATCAATTTGAAAAAAATCCTCATCTGTTTTATCCTCGACGTACGGCCGAGTCGATCTCCTAATGTCTGTAATAATTATGAAAAATCTGATTAGCTGATAAATAAATTAACCAATAAAAAAAAAAAAAAATTCCGAAAGCTCACACTGTATGGGTGGGGTGAGGTGGGAAAACGAGAAGAAGTCGTAGAACTGTCCGAGCCTCGGCGGCGGGCACATCATCGCCGCCGTACTCTCACCTTTCGCCGCTGAGTCAGGTCCGACGGCGGGAACCAGAGCCTCCGGGCTTCCGTGCTTGTGCTTCGGCGAGACAGCGGCCTTTGCGTCGGTGGATTTGGGCTTCGGGCAGAAATCGGGGGATTCATTCTGCGAACCGTGATCGGAGCGAGGAGAAGCGGCTTCTTTCGGGCCCGGATCCTTGGACCCGGTTCGAGAGCCTGCTTTGTGAGAAGAGGAAGATGAAGACGATGAGCCGCCGAAGTACGTCGTGCAGGCGACTATGTCGAGGAGCCGCCGGACGTGAGCCACAGATTGCGCTTCCGTGTACTCCTCTGCAGGCGATCACAAAGATTTTTTATTACAGATTTACCCCTCATTGTGATTAATTAACATAATCACCCTTTGACATAATTTATAAAAGTTGTAATAAATGACTAATGGTTAAAAGTATGTGACCAATTTGTTGGAGAATGGGTAATTATATTGGATTGTATTATTTAATTATATTAATAATATTTAATAAAAAAAATATAGTTTGTTGAAAAAATGAGTAACTATAATATATTTTTATTATTTAATTATATTAATAATATTGAACAATACAAAATACGATTATATGCTGATTAATCATAGTTTTGTCAACAAAAAAA